CCTAATCCAGAATAAGGCCCTAACTCTTTTCAATTCTGTGAAGGTTGAGAGAGGTGAAGAGGCTACAGAAGAAAAGTTTGAAACTAGCAGAGATTGGTTCATGTGGTTTAAATTTTTTTTTTTTCAACATGTATTTATTTTTGGGACAGAGAGAGACAGAGCATGAACGGAGGAGGGGCAGAGTGAGAGGGAGACACAGAATCAGAAACAGGCTCCAGGCTCTGAGCCATCAGCCCAGAGCCTGACGCCGGGCTCGAACTCACGGACCGTGAGATCGTGACCTGGCTGAAGTCGGACGCTTAACCGACTGCGCCACCCAGGCGCCCCATCATGTGGTTTAAGGAAAGAAGCTGTCTCCATAACAAAAGTGCAGGGTGAAGCAGTAAGCACTGATTGTAGAAGCTGCAGCAAGTTCTCCAGAAGATCTTGCTGAGGAAATTGGTGAAGGTGGTTACACTAAGTGATAGATTTTCTGTGTAAATGAAACAGCCTTATACTGGAAGAAGATGCCATCTAGGACTTTAACAGCTAGAGAGGAGAAGTCAATGTCTGTGTTCAAAGCTTCAAAAGATAGGCTGACTCTCTTTTAGGGGCTAATGCAGCTGGTGACTTTAAGTTGAAGTCAATCCTCATTGACCATTCTGAAGATCCTAGGGCCCTTAAGAATTATGCTAAATCTACTCTATCTGTACTCTATAAACGGAACAACAGAGCCTGGACAGCACATTTATTTACAACATAGTATACTGAATATTTTAAGCCTACTACTGAGACATACAGCTCAGAAAAAAAGATTCCTTTCCAAATAATTCTGCTCATTGACAATGTACCTGCTAAGCCAAGAGCCCTGATGGAGATGTACAGTGAGATTAATGTTTTCATGCCCACTAAAACACAACATCCATTCTGCAGCCCATGGGTCAAGGAGTAATTTTGACTTTCAAGTCTTATTATTTAAGAAATAGGTTTCATAAGGTTGTAGGTGCCTTAGATAGTAATTCCTCTGATGGATCTGGGCAGAGTAAATTGAAAACTTTCTGGAAAGGATTCACCATTCTAGATGCCAGTAAGAACATTCATGATTCATGGGAGAAGTCAAAATATCAACATTCACAGGAGTTTGGAAGAAGTTGATTCCAACCCACATGGATGACCTTGAGGGATTCAAGACTTCAGTTGAGGAAGTAACTGCAGATGTGGTGGAAATAGCAAGAGAACTAGAATTAGAAGTGGAGCCTGAAGATGTTACTGAATTGCTACCAATCTCATGATGAAACTTTAATGGATGAGGAATTGCTTCTTATGGATGAGCAGAGAAAGTAGTTTCTTGAGATGAAATAGACTCCTGATGAGGATGCTGTAAAGATAGTTGAAATGGCAATAAAAGATTTAGAATACTCCATAAACTTCCTTGATAAAGCAGCAGTAGAGTTTGAGAGGAATAACTCCAATCTGGAAGGAAGTTCTGTGGGTAAAATGCTATGGCATCACATGGTACAGAGAAATTGTTCATGAAAGGAAGAGTCAATCAATGCATCAAACTTCACTGTTGTCTTATTTTAAAAGATTTCCACAGTTACCCTAACCTTCAGCAACCACTATCTTGATCAGTCAGCAGCCATCAACATCCAGGCAAGAACTCCCAACAGCAAAAAAAAAAAAAAATTAGGACCCACTGAAGGCACACATGATGGAATGGTTAGCATTTTCTAGTGATAAACTATTTCTTAATTATATACAATGTTTTTTTTCAATATATGAAATTTATTGTCAAATTGGTTTCCATACAACACCCAGTGCTCATCCCAAAAGGTGCCCTCCTCAATACCCATCACCCACCCTCCCCACCCTCCTACCCCCCATCAACCCTCAGTTTGTTCTCAGTTTTTAAGAGTCTCTTATGCTTTGGCTCTCTCCCACTCTAACCTCTTTTTTTTTTTTTTCCTTCCCCTCCCCCATGGGTTTCTGTTAAGTTTCTCAGGATCCACATAAGAGTGAAAACATATGGTATCTGTCTTGCGCTGTATGGCTTATTTCACTTAGCATCACACTCTCCAGTTCCATCCACGTTGCTACAAAGGGCCGTATTTCGTTCTTTCTCATTGCCCTGTAGTACTCCATCGTGTATATAAAGCACAATTTCTTTATCCATTCATCAGTTGATGGACATTTAGGCTCTTTCCATAATTTGGCTATTGTTGAGAGTGCTGCTATAAACATTGGGGTACAAGTGCCCCTGTGCATCAGTACTCCTGTATCCCTTGGGTAAATTCCTAGAAGTGCTATTGCTGGGTCATAGGGTAGGTCTATTTTTAATTTTCTGAGGAACCTCCACACTGTTTTCCAGAGTGGCTGCACCAATTTGCATTCCCACCAATAGTGCAAGAGGGTTCCCGTTTCTCCACATCCTCTCCCGCATCTATAGTCTCCTGATTTGTTCATTTTGGCCACTCTGACTGGCATGAGGTGATATCTGAGTGTGGTTTTGATTTGTATTTCCCTGATAAGGAGCGACGTTGAGCATCTTTTCATGTGCCTGTTGGCCATCCGGATGTCTTCTTTAGAGAAGTGTCTATTCATGTTTTCTGCCCATTTCTTCACTGGGTTATTTGTTTTCCGGGTGTGGAGTTTGGTGAGCTCTTTATAGATTTTGGATACTAGCCCTTTGTCCGATATGTCATTTGCAAATATCTTTTCCCATTCCGTTGGTTGCGTTTTAGTTTTGTTGGTTGTTTCCTTTGCTGTGCAGAAGCTTTTAATCTTCATAAGGTCCCAGTAATTCACTTTTGCTTTTAATTCCCTTGCCTTTGGGGATGCGTCGAGTAAGAGATTGCTACGGCTGAGGTCAGAGAGGTCTTTTCCTGCTTTCTCCTCTAGGGTTTCAATGGTTTCCTGTCTCATATTCAGGTCCTTTATCCATTTTGAGTTTATTTTTGTGAATGGTGTGAGAAAGTGGTCTAGTTTCAACCTTCTGCATGTTTCTGTCCAGTTCTCCCAGCACCATTTGTTAAAGAGACTGTCTTTTTTCCATTGGATGTTCTTTCCTGCTTTGTCAAAGATGAGTTGGCCATACGTTTGTGGGTCTAGTTCTGGGGTTTCTGTTCTATTCCATTGGTCTATGTGTCTGTTTTTGTGCCAGTACCATGCTGTCTTGATGATGACAGCTTTGTAGTAGAGGCTAAAGTTTGGGATTGTGATGCCTCCTGCTTTGGTCTTCTTCTTCAAAATTACTTTGGCTATTTGGGGCCTTTTGTGGTTCCATATGAATTTTAGGATTGCTTGTTCTAGTTTCGAGAAGAATGCTGGTGCAATTTTGATTGGGATTGCATTGAATGTGTAGATAGCTTTGTATACAATGTTTTTAAAGAGATGCTGCTATTGCACAGAGACCACAGTATAGTGTAAACGTAACTTGTATATACACTGGGAAACCAAAAAATTCATTTGACTTGCTTTATTGCAATATTTGCTTCATTGAAGTGATCTGGAACCAAACTCACATGTATGCCTATATGCAGTTTATTGACTTATTTATTTTTTAGGTATGAGATGTATTTATTTTTATTTTTTTATTCCAGTATAATTAACATGCAGTGTTATATTAGTGTCAGGTGTACAATGTAATGATTCAACATGTGCTCATCATGTGCTCATCAAGGTAAGTGTACTCTTAATCCCCTTTATCTATTTCACCCATCCCCTTACCCACCTCCCCTCTGGTAACCACTAATTTGTTCTTTGCATTTAATAATCTAGGTTTTTCGTTTTGTTTTGTCTCTATGTGCAGTTTAAATAGAAAACTTGCCAAGTATAGTCACAAGGAATGTTTGATTAATTGATTGATTGATTAATTAATTTTATGTCAGACGAGTAATATGCTGAGGTAGTACCAAAGTTTAAGAGAGCCTCATGTCACACAAGAGCATGACGACCCAATCAAAGTTCCAAAATAATGCTTATTTTATTTTATTTTTATTTTTTTAATTTTTTTTTCAACGTTTATTTTTATTTTTGGGACAGAGTGAGACAGAGCATGAACAGGGGAGGGGCAGAGAGAGAGGGAGACACAGAATCGGAAACAGGCTCCAGGCTCTGAGCCATCAGCCCAGAGCCTGACGCGGGGCTCGAACTCACGGACCGCGAGATCGTGACCTGGCTGAAGTCGGACGCTTAACCGACTGCGCCACCCAGGCGCCCCAATAATGCTTATTTTAAAGTATGATGGCAAACATTAAAATAAATTAGATTGTGTGCTTTAGTTCTGTGTTTCAGGTGGTGATTAGAGAAAGCACAGAATAAGTTTTGCATGACACATCTATTAGCTGGCAGACACATGCTCCATGCTAGGGGCTCTCTGCAGAGTATGGGAAAAAAGAATTCTCTAGAAAAGTTTGTCAAGCCTGAGATGCTGCTTATTTTTATTTAGATCTAACTAACTCTTCTTCCCTTCCACAGAAGAGCACTGATTGCTTGTGCTTTCATCTTCCCTAGCAAAAGATGGTAAAATATCAACGGAAGAAAACTATCAAGATTTATTTTTGCCTTTACCACAAACAAGTATGTAATGCAAACTGCCATGATGGAACTGTACAGATATGGCTATGCTATCAAAATGTCAGGGATGCTTTCTTTCCGGAAGGTGGGGGAAAACAACTAGATTTGGAAATCTGGTATACAAATGTATATGAATATACAAATGCCATTTATAGATCCAGATACGCCCATCCACCCATAAGTATATATAGTTGGCACCAAGTCACTAAGCATAAAGATGTTGTGGGTGTTTACAACTTTTTTAAAAAAGGCATTATTTGCATTAAAAATGTTTTCTAATTTCCACAATAGTCTATTTGAGGAGTTGGGAAATTTGGGTGAAAAGATAAGAGTGGGGGAAGAAAAGTACTAGAAACCAATTGGATGCATATCCAATGCATCCAATGCATATAAATACCACAGTCTTTTGTGTTTTCAGCCTTTTACACACACAGAAGACGACGTACCTTGTGTTTCCGGTTCTGACTTTGCCCAGCAACTGGTATGAGTTTGGTCAAGTCACTTTCCTTCCTTAAGCCTTTGTTTCTTCATCACCAAAATAAAACGAGAGAGAGAGAGAGAGAGAGAGAGAGAGAGAGAGAGAGAGAAAGAGAGAGAGAGAGAGATGTTGGCATTAGTACATCACGTAGCTCCCCTAAGCAGTACAGAATGTCCCCTCCAGCCTAGCATTCTATGATTGTGACTATGAATACATTAATCGTGTTATTTTGCACAGATTAATTATATGGGTTACTGCTAATTTTTTTCTTTTGTCGTTTTGTTTGTTTGAAGGATGCTGGTAGGTGGTTTTGCTAAATGGGGCTTTCTTTACCTGCTTGAAATTTCTTGTGTGGTATCTACCAACATGACTGACATTTCCAGTTATCTGTCAGTTGCATCTGCAAGCCTCCGATACTGGTTGAAGTTTGACTTAGGCCAAAACCCTTCTCAAGTGGTTTACTGTGGATGGTACTGTTCATAAAAGGGGTGGTTGGTGACTTGTCTCAGGGAGACCATACTGAAGAATACAGTCACTTCAGAGCTTTGGCCAGAGAGACAGGGGACTGGATGAGGAAATGGCAGTGTGCAGTATGGTTTTCAAGAGAGAAAAAGTACTTGCCATAAGTGATCAGTGGTTTGTGAAAATAAAATTATGCTGAAGTCCTGTAAATCTTGTGAATACTAAAGACTTCATCATCATCCACAGAACAACTCTTGAGAAAGGAAACACACTGCCTGAAAATTTCCTGCTGCCTTGAATAAGGGCTTGGAGGGTAAGAAGGAAAAATGGACATCAACCAAAAGGAATAACACAAAGAATGCTCATGTGTCAGTCACTGCTGAAATAGACAGTTAAAACTTTCATGACAGAAGGAAAACCCTCGCAGAGGTGCCCCATACAGCGGTCGAGAATCCCAGGCTAAGGCTCAGCCACAGTTCTAAAACCTTAGAATGAAATCAACAATCCCTCTAATTGTTTATCACAATGCTTTCTTTAGACATTTTACTTGAGGAGTTGGGGTGGAGCGAAGAATAAGAAAATCCTTTCTGAGCTTGCCTTACATCTAGTTTGAAAGTAGAATTTCTTTACTGGAACTGCTGATCTGTAAGGCCACCAGTTTATGTGGGTTTCAAAGGGCTCTTAGAGTTCAAGTATGGATGTGTTCTGTTTGTGTGCCAGTACTGTGCACATACACACACACACCCGCCCCGTTTATATCTCCAGGCCAGTGTTTCTCAATCTCTGAACTACTGATATTTGGGGTCAGTTAAGTCTTTTTTTTTTAATGTTTATTTTTGAGAGACATAGAGAGAGGGGGGAGGAGGAGGAGCAGAAAGAGAGGGAGACAGAAGCTCTGTGCTGACAACACGCAGCCCAACGGAGGGCTGGAAATCAGGAACTTCGAGATCATGACATGAGCCGAAGTCGGAAGCTTAACCAATTGAGGCACCCGGGTGCCCCTGGTCAGTTAATTGTTTATTCTGGGGCTGTCCTGTGTATTGTAGGATGTTTGTGAGCATGCCTCGGTTCACCTACCAGCAGCCAGTGCTATCTCCCCCTTCTCTTTACCTGCACTCCCATCTCCCCTGACATCCAAAAATATTTCTGAACATTGCCAAATGTCTCCTGGGGGACAAAAATCTCCCTTGGTTGAAAACTTCGGGCTGAGATAAGGATCTTTAGAGAGAGCAAAGGAAGACAGAGAGTGAGTAACATGAGGCTTTTCTCTAGGATTCAGATACTTATTCTCAGGGTTACTCTATTTATGGAAATTATTCGAAGATGTTTATAAGTGTTTTTAGGAAGCTGCTGTCATTCCAAACAAGCCAAATATTGCAAATATTATTTTAAACTGTAACTCATAACCACTTTCTACAGCATGTCTTCATGGATTCAAGCATTTGCCTTGAAGAATGCTGTTGATTCATTTGTTGTTTTCACAACTTGTGTCACCGCTGGCCTTCCCCTTGTAATAGCATCAAGTAGTGTTCTGGTTTTTCCCCCAAACTTTGCAAACCACTTTTATACATTGCTGAAGATACATTTTAGCAGACTAACTTTTTTTTTTTTAACTGCCCTTCTCAAAGAACCCACTTCGTCTACTTGCTAGGAGAGAAATTATTTTTAATCTGAATGTAATTGAGGCATAGTTACCTAGATCCACTTTGACATTTTGCCACACAGTCTTAAAATATTTTGCAAGTAGCAAAATTATACTTTGATACAACACTGACCTTACCAAGTAACCTTATGACCGAACCTAATATCTTAAGTAAATGTGACCAGAATTAATATACCTTAATCTGAAGCTTAAGGAATACGCCCTTATTCAGTGTTTATATCTTATCTTGACTTGTATTTTACTTCCAAAGGAGAGGAAAACAGTACAAAGGATGAGGGGTTTTGTGTGTGTGTTTGTTTCCTGGTGGTAGCACTCCAGGACTTTCCTTCCAGAATTTATTTCAACATCATTTATTGAACACTGACTGTGAGCAAGGATTTATGCCAGTTTTTAGCAGATTTTGTTTTTGCAGTAAAATCAGATGTATTTCTTTTAAAATTGTGCTGTGATGAATCTTTTCTCTATTATTTTGATATTAGTGAAGATTAACTACCACAAAAGTAATGTTTTCTCCATCTATAAATGCAGGACTAAAAAAGACTAGAAGAGAGGGAATCTACAAAAGGGAGACTGGGTTTTTAAAAAGCCAGACATATAATATTTTAAGATTAAAATAGGTGGTGAGAATTCTGTTTCTTATCACTTCGCTATTTGGCATTAAGTGGACAAAAAAGCAGACACTCTCAGGCTAACTTTTTATTTTCTTCTGGATAGATGGCAGGCCCAGAATATCACAGGTTAAACTCTTGAAATGCCTATAATTTCAGATGAGTGAGTTCTGGTAAAAATATACACTTTCTGGCCTATAAATTGTCCATCATGTTTTTCCATATTTGCTACTGTTTTATTATAATATATTAAATACCAGTAAATAGGAACAGTGTGAATATTACTATTGCATTTAAGGATTTTAACTTTAATTCTTACTTGCTTTTAGATTCTGCATCTTTTATGTTAGGTGCCTGGTCTCCAATTTTGTGTTGATTTACTTGGCTGTGTGGGAGTTATGTAAAATTATCCAACTGATATAAGCCAGGTGTTCACAGCTCTTTATGCATCAGGGACTACACTGGAAGCTTTCCAAGAGTAGGTGTCTGTGACCTATATAGCAAGTATGACAAAGATGGCACATGGGCCTATTTGCAGTGTCCCTTAGGCAAGCCGTCCCCTCAAGCTCACTGACCTCCTCCAAGGTCTCCTGCCTCCCGAATCCCAGACCCACTCCCCAATCACTTGGGAGAAATGTCTTTGGCAACAGTCAGCTCTACGGTGCCTTCCTGACCAACATGGAGAGTTTGCAGCAGCACAGCTGCCCCCGCCCTCTCCCATGGCTGAGTGTCATCTTCACACCTCTACATCCTACACCCCTAGCTGGTCTGAATGGTACAAAGCAACTAGAGCCTCAGAAAGTTACTTTTCAGAGGCTCTAACCCCAGCTGCAGATAGCACAGAAAACAATACATTCGCTATCTTTAACAAAAATGATTATCTTAACATTTATTCATTTTTGAGAGACAGAGACTGAGTGGGGGAGGGGAAGAGAGAGAGAGGGAGACACAGAATCTGAAGCAGGCTCCAGGCTCTGAGCTGTCAGCACGGAACCCAATGCAGGGCTCGAACCCACAAGCTGGGAGATCATGACCTGAGCAGAAGTCAGAAGGTTAACTGAGCTGCTCAGGCACCCCAGAAGCTGTTCTTTTAAAAACACTTTCTCTTGTTCTTCTGCTCTTTCTTTTCTTTTTATGTTGTTTCGAATTCTTGTTTCTTGGTTATTCTTTTCACAGAGGGAGAAGAGAGAGGTTAAAAAGCAACCAGAAGATACTGGAGAAGGGAAAGAGACTTGCTAGTGGAGGGCTCACGGGGAGGGTTATCAGCACTCATTTTAGAGCAAGACTGGGCCGCTGGAATGGAAATTACTTGCTTACTGTAGGATTGTATGGCAGCAGTCATGGACCCAAGTGGTAGGGACCATAGCAACGTGTCCCTAGCTCTGCAACGCAGCCAGCATTCCTGCCCTCCCGCCACAAACACACAAATAAAACCCTGGGCAATTCAAGGGTGCAAGCAGGACTTAGGTAGTGTATTAGTCAAGGTTCTCCAGGGAAACAGAATCCATAGGAGAGACAGAAGGAAGGACAGAAGGTAGGGGACAGAGGGAGGAAGGGAGGAGAAAAAAAACCAAAGATACAGAGAGAAAGGGAGACAGACAAGAGAGAAAAGAGATGTACTTATTTTAAGGAATTTGCTCACATAATTGTGAGGCAATTTGTAGGGCAGACTGGCAGGCTAGAAATTTGGGCACAAGTTGATGTTGCAGTCTTGAGTCTGAATTCTGCAGGGCAGAGGGCTGGAAACTCGGGCAGTGTCTCTATATTGTAGTCTGGAGAAGTATTCCTTCTTGGGAAATCTGTCTTTGCTCTTAAAGTCTTCAAATGATTCCATGAGGCCACCCACATTATGGAGGATAACTGCTTTACCCAAACTCTGATTTAAAAGTTAATCACATTAGGGGCGCCTGGGTGGCGCAGTCGGTTAGGCGGCCGACTTCAGCCAGGTCACGATCTCGCGGTCCGTGAGTTCGAGCCCCGCATCAGGCTCTGGGCGGATGGCTCAGAGCCTGGAGCCTGTTTCCGATTCTGCGTCTCCCTCTCTCTCTGCCCCTCCCCCGTTCATGCTCTGTCTCTCTCTGTCCCAAAAATAAATAAATAAACGTTAAAAAAAAAATTTAAAAGTTAATCACATTAAAAGCAAAACAAAACAAACAAAAACAAAAAAAACAAAAAACAAAAAACAAAACCTGTACATAAACATCTAGATTAGTGTTTGACCAAAAGACTGGGCACCACAGCCTAGGCAAACTGACACATAAAGTTAACCACCACAAGCAGTGTGGAATCCAGAGAGTGCCCCCAAATCATCAAA